AGGTGGTCGCGGAGAGCCAGCGTGCTCGCCGGGGCTGGGTCGGTCGGTGTTCTTCCGAGGAGCGCGGAGGCTGTCAGATCCTGTCGCAGGCTTGGCTTAGCCCGGCACCCGTGGCTGGGTTGCCGGGTTCCTCGTTTTGTTCCTCTGAATAGCGTACGAATTTTTTTTTTTTTTTTCAGCTGAATTCAGCACTCGGGAGTCTCAAAGACTTTTAAATTACTGTTTCGCTGAAAGGCAGTAAAAAAAGCGCTGCAGTTAAGGGGACGTTGTAGTTTGACTTTATTTATGCTTTTAAATTTACATAGGCTGCCTGAACTAGGAATGCACCAGCTGCAGGGAGAACTTGTGAATACCAAACCTGTATTCATATCAGACTAGTTTAAATGTGGTTTTAAAATGGGGCTGCTGGAATATTTCTTTCTAGATGTTACATTACTTATACCTACTGCATCGGTTTTAAAATGTCATTTAATCACGTTCTATTTAATTTTGTTTCAGTGTAATATTTTCTGAACTTTGTTAGGCGATGTTCAAGGTTTAAATTTATAGATCTATGTTATCATTACTGTTGAGCTGAATGTTATGTGTAAGTTTCTCTTCTTTTTATCTTTTTCCTTCTAATTAGCTGTCATAATGAGAATATTATGTAGATCATCCCACCAAGGTCAGTAATGCAACATAAGTTGTGTTTCTCATTACTGAAAGCTTTCACTTCCTACTGATTACATGAGTCCTATAAGAAGTAAAGAGCTTTTTTTATTTTTATGCTTCAACATTCCTTCAGTGTTTTCACAGAAGAGCTAGTTCAGACTTGTACCATATCTGCATCCTTTTTCCAGTGTTAACCATCCTGTTGGATAGCTGGCCTTTAGCTGAGAATCTGCTGATAATCGTTTCTTTCCTCATGAGAGATGGTCAAGTGCTCCATGTAATTAAACCCTTCATTGTTATGTCAGTTGTATCCCCAGCTGTCAGGCTTTAGAATTTTGTAGCTTCCTTTATATGGACTATAGGACTAAAAGATCTCAAAAGTATGCTTGGATTTTATTGAGTTTTTGTCAAAAAAAAAAAAAGCCTCTAAAATTGAATGGAGCCTTGCAGTCCTGCCCAATCTTGCAGTTACGTTTCTTAATTAGGTTAAAGGAGAGCTGACACGTTGAGTTTTCTGCCTGTGCTTTTTAAAATGGTTCTGAAGTGGTTCTCAACACTTAGGAAAACTGAAGATATTCTCATCAAGTGAGCAACCTTCAAATTCAGTAGCCTGATCTGATACATCTTCAGTAGCTTTGTGTTTCCTCCAGAGACAGTTGATAGCACCTTCGTTGAGTATCTGATAGCCTCATACTTCTAATGGTATTGAATTCCTTTTTTCCTTTCAGAGCTGAGTTTCCAGTCTGTTTCTTTGGTTTCCACTTTCTCCAGTTCCCTAGTAAGAGATTCTCCAACTTGCAGTATCCGTAGCATTGATTTCTAGAAGTAGTTTGCAAATGAAAGGAATATTAAAACTTCGTTTCAGATCACTACACTCTTCACTTTAGCTGCAGACTTGCATGTGAGAATATTGGGACTGTTTTCAAAATACTGGAAATACTGACTTCGGGCAGGTCATAGTAATTGTTCTGTAATCCTCTGCACCTGCCTGCTGGTTTAGGTATGTTCCTATGACAAGAGCAGAGCAATGCTATCTAAACCTCCTCCCATTTTTTTCTGTCTACTTAGCAGTTAACTCTTATGTTAGTGTCACTGCTAAGCTTCACCCTTTCCCCTAAGGAGGGGGTCTCAGTTCCACCCTGCCAGTAATTGGCTTTCAAAAACCCTATTTTAAACTTTTTCTTTTTTTTTTTGCTAGTTCAGCTCACAGAACTGGCCTGGTCTGGGTCACACAGGTGTCAGCCTTAACACAAGCAAGGGCATGCACTGACAGTAACTCCAATTTGGATTATTTTAGGCTAAACAGGATCTTTTCCTTAAGAGAAATCTATCCGCTAAATCGAATCCATTTAAACTTCAAACCCAGCCTGAACAAAAAAGTAGGTCTGTTGAACTGTGTATCAGAAGACAGATTTAAATTGTAGGATAATTTTAATGGTGTACAAAATTGTTATCCCCTAGCTCTAATGTAGCAGGTCATCTAACTAGTTAAGCCAGCACCTTTTACTTCTCTTCTTCTGGTTCTTATGCTTATGGGACCAATAAGTTGGGTCAACTCGTTCATCTGGCAAAAAACTAACCCAGCTAAAATGAAAAAGGCGCTAATAGATTTCTGCTTGTTCTGCGATTTTAATAGGCTTGATCGGGTTGTCTTGGGAGCGTCAGCAATAACACAGAGGAAGCAGCAGCCTGTGGCCAGGGCAGAGGAGAGGCAGGTCTCGTCCTTCTCTTGTGGTGTCTGGTGGCGAGGACAAGATGCTTCAGAACACACCATCTCACTTTCAGGAATGTCAATATTTTTGTAAGCAAGAACAAATCAAAGCTCAGTTTCTTATTTCAAGTGAAAGGATATCAGTGTTCTAAAGGGCATTACCAATTTCCTAAAAATCTCAAATTTTAAAAATAATTAAGAAACCTATTTTAGCACCGTTTCACTGGTGTATATATTGATTATCCACTTTTGTAGCATGAAGTCTTAAGGAAGATCATCGCTCTTCTCACCCCTACTTCTTACACTTGCAGTGAAAGGATTCTGGCAGATGCAGTGGTGAAAGCCTTTCAGTTAGGAATATAAAAACTAACTTTTATGACTGTAGTGGCAGCTGCACTCATCCTTGCTTTTTCTTTTGTGATGACTGCATAGAAATTTAAATCTTTTACCAAGCCAATAAACCTAAATAGTGTTCCTGTCAGCCAGTGTCTGCCTACTCTAGATGCCTGCCAGAAAGAAACATCATCTGTAGCTTTTTGTAGTTTTAAGATTGCTGCTTGACAGAAAGTGGTAGTAGAGCTTCCTGGCTTGAATTTCAGCCAGGGTCATTTCAGCTGCAGCTCTACAGACTTACAGGATCTTTCAGATGGTTTGTTACTTGTGCTTGTTAGTTGGTTTTCGTTTTGCTTCGCTTATTTTGTTAGAATGGTTAGGTTTTGAAGCATTAACTATGAGTGCCTCAGTACTGGAGGAAAACAGATCCCAGCATTCTTAGCATACAAAAAATCCCTAAATGAGTCTGACAGTTTAGGATTAAACCATAATTTGTTTCACAGAACAAATTTAGATTAAGGCAGTTTACACAGCTGACTTGGGGCACTTAAATTGAATGGTGGACAGGACCAAAACAGAGTGCTCACTGAGGATGGGAGTTACAACAGAATTGCTAGGAAATGGTATGCAGGTAGGGTTAGAGGGGTGGGAAAGCAACAAAAAAGGAGTCTCCTTTAAGGAATACACCTGATGGTTGTGCAATGACATCTTTTGATACCTTCCCCCTCTTTTCTTTTGTTAGGTTGTTGCTGGCAGTGAAAGACTTCCTCTCAAAGCTGTTTAAATGAGAATGTCCCTGGCTCAAAGAGTACTACTGACATGGCTTTTTACATTACTCTTCCTGATCATGCTGGTGCTAAAGCTGGATGAGAAAGCACCATGGAACTGGTTCCTCATTTTTATTCCAGTCTGGATATTTGATACCATTCTTCTCGTTATGTTAATTGTAAAAATGGCTGGACGTTGCAAGTCTGGCTTTGACCCTCGCAATGGCTCCCAAAACATCAAGAAAAAAACCTGGTATCTCATTGCAATGCTACTTAAGTTAGCCTTCTGCCTTGCCCTCTGTGCTAAACTGCAGCGATTTACCACGATGAAACTAGCCTATGTATTTATCCCTTTGTGGGCCTTGCTTATTGGGGGTATGATTGAACTTGGATATAATATCTTCTATGTGCGAAGAGACTAAGCTATACAACGTGGTTTTCAGTGCTGAGATGGGTACCAAATTACTGGATTATTATAGTTTTGCCACCAACTTCATCTCCAAATTAGAATGCCAAATCAATCAAACTGGAGACTTCATCTAAAACAGGCTGAAGACTGAAAGTAGACTTGTTCCATTTTTTTTATTTTAAAACTGTCACATATGCTCTTGTAAATAAAGGTATTTGTTCAACATAAGCTGTTCTAATACGATTACTATTGTTGTTTGTTACATGGAATAAGATACAGGCTCTTCACATGCAGACAGATCTTCTCAAAGGAGCCACAAGTGTTATACCTCAGAGCACTCAGCACATTGGGTAACCCTTGGAAAGAGGACTTAAGTTTTCTACTACTTATGCTGTCACTCAAGAAATAACCAGTGAACAGTAATTTCTGTTGTGCTAAATTTGCCTTAAGAACTCAGCATTTTGATAGTGAGAATCCACTTCCAGTCTGAAACAGTAAAAATAAGCATTTTTTTAAGCTGCTGAAACAGATAATAACTAGTATGTTTACCTAGAGAAAAAAGTTAGTAGCTCAACTGTGCCAGCAGTCCACGGTCCAGAGAAGAGGGAGACAACTGCTGCCCTTTCCAAGTGAGAAATCACCAGTGCTGTAAACGACTGAAGCTACAGCGTGAGTTCTCTAACAGCTTCAACAAGGAAGATGTTTTTTTAATGCCCTAGTACATTACATCTCTGGAGGTGAAGCCTTAGCTTTATAGCGTAGTGGCAAACTGAGATGTGAGTGAGAACTTGATTTCAAAAGTAGTTTGCAAATGAAAGGAATTTGCAAAAAAAAAAATGCAATGAATGGGACTTCTGGGAACAGCTGGAACTATGGGTGTATTTTGGGGACTGGAAGTGCTCTTCCAGGAGCGACAATAACACCAAATTCAAATGTAAAAGCTGTCTAGGACATTAACACACGCTGAAGATACCGATCCATTTACATTTCCTAGGTACAAAAGAACGTATAGTGAATGAACAGAGCCAAGGAAAGACAGTCTAGTGTGCCAGGAAGTGACCAGATTGAAGTGTCTCACAATTTTAATTATGTGCATTCAGCTGCACATCTTCCCAAAGAGTGGATTTTCCACGTGCTGTTCAGTCACACAGATCTGGGCACAAGTACACAGGAACCATGTTATCAGAGACCGCCGAAAGGGCTTTATCCAAGAAAACAGCTTGTTCCATTCTAAGGCCATGGCTCTCAGTTCAGAACATCACGTAAGGAGTCATCTTTAGAAAGAATTTAAGCCATTTTGAATGGTTGACTGTCCTGCCTTGCTGAAGGAGAAACCAAACAAGGACAAAAAAAGGCACACAAAAAAGTCTTTCTAATAATTGGCTACTGTTTAAAAAACACAAAATACTTACAACTCTATTATAATAGAAACACCACATCAGCTTTTACTAAGCACATCGATGTACTCAGCCCGTTTCTAAGCATCACAATTCACGGGGAGCTGAAATTACCGCTTAGAAATCTCTTCCCCTCAGTGCCTATCAGGAACAATTTCTTGTTGGGAGGTTTATCGATGCCCTATGGAGTTTTGAAAAATATTTCACAGAGGACCTTGCTCTGTGTTTGAGAGGCTTTTTGCCCTGTGAAGAACTGGCTTCCTTCACTGTCTCCGTGATTTTCAAAGTTAAAATGGTGCTTGTGACTAGGAATAGTTGTGGGCAGGGGGGCAGAGTGTTCGTCTCAGTTACTGCTCTTGGGCCTGCCCAATATAGGGAACACAACCGCAAGCACATGCAACATATGTGTGTATGTATGCGGTATAAAGAAGATGCTTGATTTGTCCATCCAATTTAGCCCTCTTAGAACCAAATAACTGCTTGTAAAATGGAAGTTAGCATCACCGAGCTTCCTAGGATGCAATATTCCAGGTACATCCCCCAGCAGGCAAGCTAGACCTCATGTGAAACTTGATGCTTTAGCATCCAGTTAAAAAAAAAAATCTATAGAGAATTGAAAGAGTATCTAAAGACCTACCTCCACTTAAGGTAAACTTTATAAACCACTTAAACATTGCTGCAAATCCATAACAAGCATTTAAGCACTTTAGACAAGACACATGTATCTATGTGCAAACTCATCTCTGTTTGGTATGTTACAGCACCAAGCACAAAACTGAGTACCCACAGGTTCCCCACCTGATGACTACACCCCAGAGCAAAAAGCCAAAACGCCCTGTTCACACAATGTCCAAAACCCCATCCTGCTCAGAAGGGCCGAGCAGCTTCCCTCGGGCAGGCTGACAGCGTTAACAGATTGTTTTAACACAACGGAAAGATGGAAGAACAAGAACTAGCTTCATTAGGCCTTGGCATATTATTAGCAAGATGGGCTGCAAATGGCGACTCTGCCCCCTTAATAAGCCCCTTCTGTTCCACAGATGTAACAATTATCTGAAAGTTTGGCATATCTAATTAACTAGAATCATACACAGTTGTTCCAAGTCTTTTAATTGCTGCTTCTAATTCAATAGAAAAAGACTAGCAATTTCAGTGTTTTGGTTGCAGGTTTGGCTTTTTCTTTTCTCTTTTCCTTTTTTTTTTTTTTTTTTGAGAACAAAAACAAACCTTGAAATAAATGATTTTGAAAGCTGAAGCAGACACTTCTGGTTATACGCAAATTGTTTTCTTTCCTTTAGCATAAGACGTTTTAGGACACAGCCATATGAAAGTGCTCAACTTTGTCTGCACGTTCCTAGTCCTTATAGAGGGACACAGGTAAGAGGAATATCCCTTTGGCCACAGGATTTTATATCAGATTTAACTAACCTAAACTGTGCTCACACCTTTCTACATGCAGTCTCGCGTTTTTGTGACACCAGAACTTCACTCAAAAGGATTTAGGATACAAAGTACACTGTAGCCCACCAGGACCTTTCCAGCAGCTGTTGCAGGAATTACTATTCGTAATTAGGCTGTTCTCAAAGGCACTGTCCACAGCTTTGAAATGGAATGAGTTCTCCTCACACCTTTTCTTAAATTTTACAGACTGATCTACTGATCTTCATTAAATAGAACAAAATGAGGGAAAAGCAGATTTAATGGAGTTGGCAGGGAAAAGGGGAAGTCGACGCTGAGATGGCTCATACTGATTTCCGAGAAATGGGCAGAGGGGAAACAATAGGGTGAGCACCAGCCCTCCCCCCCCGGCGAGCACCTGTCTCCCTGTCTGCAGCGGCTGATGCGGGGCGTGGAGGGGAGAACTTTGCCTTCAACGGCTTTGTTTTAAAATGCCATTCAAAAGCTTGCTGTTCTGAAACAAAACTGAAGTACTGATCATATATTGACGATATATATATTAGCTACAAAATACATACAGATGATATGTATCATACATGGAGATATATATTCTACATCATTTATTTCTCTTCAAATCATTTACACAAGCTTGAACACTTCGGCATGCACTGTAGGCGAGTATCTGCTTTTCTCTGATCAAGGAAAACACCCAATGCACGTGTGTAAAAGGTCACAAAACGAAAATTTTCAGTTACCTACTCATACTGCTTTTCTCAATTTGTCACTTTAGAATACTATCCAGTTCTCCGTTCTTTCTGTACTTGAAAAACACAATGGTGTGGCACACACATTCCCACCTTCAACAAGCTTTAACTTTAACCCAAGTGCTCTAGGAGCGTGTGTACGTGCAGCCGGCGTGCACGGCTCGGCACGGGTGACCATTTAAAAAGCAGCAGCTAGCACAGGACTCAGTTACACGGCGGCTGGAGAGATGAAAGCCGTAGTATTTTCTGACATATACGCATAGTAGTACAGAAACAAAGTCTTAGCATAACCTCACGGAAATGTTCACATTTGCCCAGTTAAAAGTTGGGTGACACAAAGGTACTAATGAAAGTGAAATTTATGAGACTCTCAGAAATTCAGAATTCTAACATTAGGTGTTACCTATTTTAACAACACTATATTTTTGGGAACAAACAACATTGCTTTTCAGTAATAAAGCTGAATAAGTGCATCCTTAGAAATAAGTTCTTCAAATTTATTAGCATGGAAAGCATAGCACTATCACACTTCCCCCCCCCCATTAAGATTGAGGTAAAAATAACTACGCCAAGTTGGAAAAAGAGTGTTTGCACCTCTTCATTGTACCTTCATTGCTTTAAGGTTTGGAAGGAGTCAGTCTCCCATACAAACCTTTTAGACCTGAGCAGGCCTGGGAATCAACTTGCTGCTGAAAAGCATCAGGCTTTGTGGACTAAGGTAAGTCAAGGAATCACTGCAGTTGGACCAATTTTAAGTCAACATTTTCTCCTTCTGCTTGTAGTGAAGTTGGATAAAGAGCAGAAAAATCTGCAACTCGGTAATGCTGTTTCCTTCGGCCTGCCTTTACTAACAAAACTAACGTCACGCAGGCAAATGCAAGAAGAGTCTTCATATAGCACAGAACGACAGCCTAAGTGCAAGAAACAGGGAAGACATGAGAACCCAAGATCAGCTCATCTGTGTTAGTTTTGATCCGTGTTCATTTTGAAGTTTATAAAGAAATCACTGCCAAAAGATGTTTTTTGGTCTAAGAACTTGATTTCTGAGATTAACAAAAGCTCTCAACTGCATTGATCAGACAGACAAGTGCCTGAGTGTTATTGCATGCGTCAGATCTAGCTTTAGCAATCTTGACTTACGTCACATTAGTCTTACACACACAGGTCTAATTCTCAAGGTTTTCTTCTTCGTGAGAGACTGATGGAATAGCTTTCTCAGCTACCTGCCCTGTTTTGTCTCAATACAACCAGATAAAAAAACTGCCATAAAAAGCATGGTCCTTGAAACGCAGGTCTGAGCTCTACCACACACTGCACTTTCATTCAGGTGAACTGGAAGGACTGGAAATTAATTGGTAAAAAAAACCCATAGTATCAAAATAGTTACTGAAAAATAAAACTTGATAAACCCAGAAGTTTAAACTGCTGTTTTAATCAATGTTTGTATCAGATTATCATAACTGTACACCAAACATTAAAGGACTGTTTAGGACTAATGCCCTCATCAGTAGGCTCATCTATCAGCATGACCAGAACATGAGAAGATCAGTGTTTAGCTGGCACTCAAGTACAGCATGGCTCCAAAGCAGAGGAATTATTAGCATCATAGCACAGAGGAAAATGAGGGTTAGAATACAACACACTAAGTTTGCAAAGCCAGTATCCCTGATGGTTCTAATCGAAACAGCAACCTAGATATTGTGAAGCTAATCACTGCTTCTGAACAGAAATAAAAAATAATTTGCATTTCTAAGAAAAATGAAATGACTAATAGGAACCAACGTTTCCCAAATTTTCCCATGTATGCTGCAAATTCAGCAGAATCTGCACAAAATATCAGTATCGCCTATTATACAGTTTTTAAAGTGCATTTCATCTGTTTGAGAAAGTAGTAAAATATCAGTTGAACACAGTGACTCACGACCAAAGAAAACAAACATTCTCAACTGTGTCACTCACAGCCAAGCATAGATCAAGGAAAATTTTTCCTTTTCATTTCCAACTTGTACACATTCACAGTAAGGTAAGTAGCACTGATCTGCCTAAAGACAAGGTTCTCTAAATATCTGACCACTAGAAGAAAAACTAACACAATTACACTCAAGAAGCCTTTTATCTTTTGATCAGAATTAGTAGTTTTCATCCTAGTAGGGCCAGGTGCTGTCTACTGTCTCGGAACAGTTTATTTTGCCAATGAGCATGGAGAAAATACGGATTTATTTCAAACAATTCAGCATCCTTATTCACACACAGGTAATGGAAAACAATCATTTTGATCAATGAATACCTGTCCTGTGTTTCTTGGAAGACTTATCTCAATTTTCCAAATCTGTAATGTTCAGATCTGTTTCACAGCATTCTACTATTTTATGTTTCTATTTCCCACATCATTTGCAATGCCAACTTTTTTTACTGTGCACATGTGTATCTGCTTAAAAATCAATTTTATTTATCACCACAGATTTCTTTCACAGATGAATACTTAAACCATCACCCTCTGAATTAATACTTTATTTCTAATACTAGATAGAATCAATATTTCAGTTAAAGAAGTATTGCAATATTCACTATAGTAACAAGGAAGGGAAAGTCTGCATGCCAGCAGTACCTATAATGAAAATGTTGTTTCAGAGTCAATTTGCAGGCATTTGGAGGGCTGGGGGATAACACAACACTGAGAAACACTTGTATGTAACACATGAAGTCAGTTGCCAGTGAAATGCAAAATATTCAGTAATTTTTAAAAAACAGAAGTAGCTACCATCTTAAAAGCTATCGGTAGTGACAGTAACAATGCAGTTCTTTGCTACCCACAAATATGGTACCAACATCCAGGAAAACATTTCTAAATTTCTGCACATCATGTCATGAACTGGAACACCACTGCAAACACACAGATGTCAATCCCACTGCAGCACAGGCAACAGGCCTTAAGCAGATTTCTCCAATCTGCAGAACAAGGGCCAAGAGAGACAACGAAAACACTGGAGATTTCAGCCGAAATAACAGTGTTATGTACAACTGAAACCAGGGGGCAATAAGAAAAGACTAGTTTCAGTACATCAGAAGGCATGGAGGATTTATTGCAGAAGCAAAAGTCTGAATATGACGCTGTATGCGGCAGGAATAAAGGTTATAGCACAGGACCACCTGAAACCAAAGCAAGACCTTTGTCAGACTAATGAACAATTTGGGAGCTGAAATTCTCAGAAAAGGTACTTCCCTCTTACAGAGCAACCGCCTCAAAATGAACATACTACAGGTAGAGGACAAAAACATCTTTTTTTTTCTTTTTTTTTTTTTTTTTAAAAAGCAAAGTAAGAAGTATACACTAATATAGTCAGTCTACCCAGACTGTTCATACCTTTGGATACAAAGGGAGCTCTGATAGCCACTGGTAATCCTGGGATTGTTCATATTCTGTCTAAAAAGAAGTACCTAGTTTGTCTCAAAAAATAAAGGATGCATAAATATTGCAAAAACTAACACTTTTTTTTTAATCTTCTAGAATTCTGAAAGTGATAGAAAAAAAATTTGTTGAAGCTGTAGGCAGTTTAGAAGCAAAATTTCAGAACCAAGACATTCCTGAGCAGAAGTTTGAGGCCATCTCAGCCAAGACCACTGAGCAGGTCTTCAAAAGGAAACAAAGTTCTACTCTTAAGTGTAAACTCATGTTTGCAAAACCATTTTCAAAAAAAATTTTTTTTTTTCCCCAGTCTGGATAGGGCCTATGATGCTAAAAGTTGTTTGCTGTCAAGAGGGATGTATACACTTCACTAAAATTTGACAGATTTAAAAAAAAATATTTGAATCAGAATGAATGATCAGCATACAGATCACCAGCATACAAATAAGATTATTTTTTTTTAAAAAGTAAACTAAATAGGTTTATTTTTTCTTAAAAAAAAAAAAAAAAATCCAAAAAAGTATCTGGCAAGGCTGGTTTTGATAAAGCTGGATCTGCTAACCCACTTGGAAAGCTACATGCTTGGTGCAAACTACAACCTGCAGCTCTTCCCTTTTACTGTTCTCCAACAGCTGGCACAGAGGACGGGAATGGAAGGCTACATAATTGTGTACGGATGCCCATAAAGCCAAAGAGATTACAGATGGAAGTTTCCAGATAATCCAGAAAACACAAAGGGAGCTGAGACCACATTTCTATCAGGAAGGCTCACATCCTTATATGAACCAATTAGTTTGTCACATCAGAATCTGCTGGAGTAATAATTTACCATGTCACACATGAGTCATTTGCTCATGGCATGATGGAAAAGCAAGATCCCTGAGGCTGCAAAACTGGTAGTAATCGCTTAGCCAGCATTAAAGAAAATAGCAGTAAGACTTAAGGACACATTAGCCACATCCAGAGATCCACGTTTGTATTGCTTCTCTAATACGTAATTATGGCTATGCAGGAGTAATGTTTAGCAATTCAAATATTGATTTAATTAATAGCTCCTTGACAGACCTATTTTAGATTTAAATACATCAGGGCACTCATCTGTTAAATGGCTGATTTTAGTGCCAGGCGTAAGCACGCAGTAACACTTTGAATTTTAACAACCTACAAGCAAAAAATGTTAGCAATAAAAGGGCCTCAGGTAGTTGAATTAGACATCACCTGGAAATCACATTGTTCTATTGCTACAAATGAAGCCTAGGTGATCATTAAGCGCATCAAAGGTTATAAACTGGGTACATAATGATGTATAACTTTCTGAAAGTTATAGGGAAAAATACAAAAAAAAATACAGACAGCTTTGGAAATAACAACATGCCTAAGAACTTAAATTTTAAATACTCTAGCTGAAGGACAGGCTGTAAGACAGTTTACTGCTGTTAGTCACTACCTGGAGTAGAAGTATCATTCAGATGTGTTTCAACTAGACATGTAATATGTTACACAGAGAATTAAATAAGTTAATGACAGAGACTTTGCCATTACCACATCAGATCGGATGCTAGCTAGCCTTGAAATCCTCTTCCCTCAGAACACAGCTTAAGAGAATGCAAGCACTCCATAGGCAGGGAGAGAGGAGAACAGTTTACTTGGACACCACTATTATTTTCTTAATGACACACTGCCGCTACTGTCAGCATAGGGAGCAACTCAAATCCAAGTGTGCCTCAGTGAATTACAGGTCACTGCTAAAGTCGAGGCCTTTATGGCTTGAAAAGTAACCATTTAAATATGCTTTGTTTTAATTTTTAGTGAGACAACTGATTTAAGTTGAGGGGGCTTGTTGTTGTTTTTAAGGTGAAACAGAACTGTCTTAGCTGTGGCTTGAGCAAGGGGAAGAGGTAAGCACAGACGGGAGTTGCTCCCTTGCGCCAGCTCATCCAGAGATGCACAGTTACTGGTAGCGCTGCTGGAGCCCACTGCGTGTCTGGCTGTCCTCTGTACCAGGGGAAGGTTTGCCTCTCTGTTCCACATTAACATCTGACAGCAGGAGTTTGGGGAGTGCCTTAAGGAGCAACTGTAAGGAACCCTGTGGAGGGAGGCCTTTCTGACTGATGTTGGTTTACAAAGAATGCCTCAGCTCTACCTCAGTTTGCTACAGCTCCTCACACAATGGCGTAAGGGCATCCTATGCATTAGTGCAGGTAGAAACATAACCATTTAGAGAGGCAGTTTCACTGAATTATTTTTTGCAGACCCAAAAATAAAACCAATCTGTTATTATGAACCTTTATTAAGTGGCTCACATTTCAGTATAAATCACACTAAAAAGATTTTTAAAAAAGATATTTACACTACAGTGCTGACACATTTAAAATGAAAAAATTGGTATAAATAAGCTCTATGGAAAAGCCTGGAATTGTCAAAAAGAATTCTGGCTCATCTTACAAAAAATATATATGTTAAATGTCAGCTCTACTCTAAAACCTACAACTCAAAATTATTTAAAGACTTCTTTATGTTAAACCTGCAGTGTTTACAGTGCATCTGGCCCTAAGTGCTTTGATACTTCACAGTTATGGACAGGCACTGAGGAATGTTACAAAGCTACATAACTATCTTCTGTAACAGGTGCGAAGGCAAGTCACAAACTTGCCTCACAGAATTTGTGAATCTTTACATTATTATATCATTAAGTTTAAAAAGGAATTTAAAACCATATATACAAATCTAGCACAAAAAATCATCCTCTCTTTGTCCATGCAGTTTTGGATATGGTGAACTATGCTGTCTTGTATCATCTGGATGTACGTGACCTCCAGGGCATAACTTGCCTTGTAAGTCCTTGTTGCCAGGTTCATATTTAGAATCCATTTCCAACTTAAACGCCGTCATTTCAACGTGATCCGATCTAGTCTGAACATTCTGGCCCCCGACGTCATTCGGTGCCACTGTCTTTTCAGCAAGATCAACATTCATGGGTTCTTCTTTCAATCGGTGAGATGCAATAGGTTCATGTTTTACCAGCATAAATT